TCCCTCTCTCTGTCACTCTTTCTCTCTCATGCAGGTATTTTTATTATTACTCCATGGTATTGTAATATTTAAACACGTCATTTTTCCTGAACATCCGTCAGACTCCGACATAAGTTTAACACTCTTTAAACCTTTTTCTGTACTGGAATGTGACGTGTGTCAAAGGAAAATCAATCCTAAAATATTTATTTCATGTGTTAGGTTATAGGTATTCAAAAACAGATTCCGGGAAGGGTATGTGTCCAGTATATTTTGTATTCTTTGTACTCGAATTGAAATCGACAACTTGCGAAACATGCTAACTGATATTAATCTGTCAAGGTCTATACTAATAAACTAGATGGGGGAGGGGCAGAGTGAGAAGAAAAACTACTTCCAACGCAAACATTTATTGAGTAGCAGTTAGTGGAACGATAAAATATTAAAGGAACGGTAATTTCCGGTAAGAAGCCCACACGACTATATTTTTACACTGAATGTATACACAAATGCCTCTGAATTGCCTACTCATTACGCCCTCAATAATATTAAATTGCTCAACAATTTTTTATATTATTTAAAACTTGGGCGTAATTTTAAATTACGTTATATTCTTTAAATAAGAAAATTATAAATACACATTTTGATATAATTTAATAATTAGTTAAATAATAATTTTAGTTTTATTATTTAGTGAATAAAATAAAAATTCAAATAATCATAACTATCAATAAATACAAAATAAGTATTTATAAAAATATGTAATATCTTTAATTTATTTTAATGAAATTATTAATTAAAAAAATAATAACAGTAAAAATCTATTATAGACCGAATTAAATAAATTAGAAGTAAGTATTATGATTTTCGTTAATAAAATATCATGTTTAAGCGGTATATTATATTATACTTCAATTGTATCTACGTATCTATTACGTATAATTAATGAATGTTGTATAATTTAAAAAACAAATTCTACCAGAAGATAATATGATCAGTATACAAACCACAACCTTGACCGTTCATATTTAATATCATTTGCACATGATTGAATGACCAATCAAAAGACCTTCACACAATCTAGTATTTAATTTGAGTAAACGTCAGTATATAAACGAAGTAATATAAAAACAATTTATAAATGATTATTAATTATCATTGAATTATTATATAAAAATACCTATTAGAATTATTATTTTATACTTTAAATCATTATTTTAAACATAAAGTATTATTTGTTTTTATTATATATTTCGTTTATGAAATTCTATGTAATTTAAAAATAAATTAATTAAATTAAAGGCGATAAAAATGATTTCATATTATTTTACGTGATAATATGAAATTATTAAAAACGTTTATGGTTTAAAATAATTCAAATTAGTTTAGTACAATTTTTTTCTAATTCGTGTTTAAAAAGCATTATGCAAATTTAAAAAAAAATGCTTTAACGATATTTTATTAAAATTCAACAAACAAATAGTACAATAAAAAAACACCTAACAGAGACAATGGTAACAAATTTAAATTTAGATGAACTCTGCTATTTTAATTCAGGCTTATTTTCTTTATTGGTTTACGCCGTTTACGGTACAGGACAATTTGTTTAGCGCAATAAATTCAAAACAATTTATTGCCTCAACCCTTATATAGTTTTAAATTACATGAGCCTTTGCACATAATTATGTACGAGTGTACACAGTTTATTAACAATTTTAACACTAGAATTTACGCAACTGTTTATACGTATAAATTTCAAAGTTAGTTTTTAAAGATATAAAAATAATTTAATTTATTTCTAACCAAATCTAAATATATTACACAATTGATAATACGTAGAAAATATTAGATATTGAAAGTAGTACATTAAAGTTGTTAAAAGTGTCGTAAAATGAATACTTTCTTTGCTTAAAAAAACCTTACCCTTAAATATACAATTGTATATTTATTTTTTAATTTTTTTCAGTTTATGTCTACTATTATTGATTAAAAATATGAGTACAAACCAACTTCATTGGTCATAGAATGTGCTAGTAGAAGAAAATCTACGGTATCTATATATATCATTGTTTAATATGGCAATCAGTCAACCATATAAAATAACAGTGATTTACTATTAGTAAGGCGTTTATAATAACTACCTACTACCATAGACATTTTTTACGGTATACTTTATTTTAAATCAGTTAAATTAAACATGATTTATTTACGGGTTACTCACACATGAATATTTATTAAAGAATTAAAGTAATAACTAATAAGTTATTATTAAAAAAAAAAAAACATATATTGTAGGAAATTTATTTGAATTTTATAATTTTTATTTTAAAATTTAAACAATTTAATTTGATTTGTTTTTTTGATAATGACTATCACTGTTTTACTTAGTATTTACCAATAAATAAATACAATAAGCTAAAAATAAATTGTATTATTATATATATATATATATCCAAATTACTATCTGTTATAAAAATGAACATTAGTTATTTTATTTTATCAAAATAAGTGATTGAGTTATACTTTTAATTTAAACTTTTAAAAAAAAAAAAAATTTATTATTTGTGAAATACAACGTTTATTATTTTTTTTTTCAAAAATATCTTCATATTGACTAAATAAAAAAAACGAGTAAATGACAATTAGTTCATATCTTTTCACAAACTAAGTTTACTATTTTCATAAAATACGCAGTATTGTTAGATACATCCACTGGTATTTAATCTACTAATATGGTTGTATACAATAGATAGTTATTAATGCATAAAAATAATATTATTATAATTAATTATATAATAATATAACTTATAAGTAGTAATGTTTGAATCATTTTTTAAAACTATTAGGAGTGTTAAAAATGTATACCCAACAAAATATATATTATTTAAAATAGAAACTCTGCCCCGCACAATTCAATCTATACACGCCCAAGTTGTTATTTTTAAGAATCTATACGAGTACACTACTAGGAAATCAATCTGCAATGATCTGTAAGTGATATGTAGAGAAAATAAGTGTATAATATATTGTTATCACAAGTTGAAGTAACTCGAAACGCTCAGTATACGCGGGATGGCAATATTATATTATGAATTATGTCAATTATGATTATGATTTATAAATCACCACAGTGGCAAACAGATAGCTCGTGTAGGCATCTATTTGGATTTTTAGATTTTACAAATATTCGATATTTATTCACTGTACATTTCCTAGATGAATAGCGTAATATATTAAATGATTAAATGGCAATGATAAAATATATTATATAATACAATAATTTATACGATTCAAGTTGTTGTACATGTCCGAAAGTACAAACTGACAGATTAAATTTATAAAGCTCTAACTAAATATACGTTCCGCTCAGAATCTAAAACAATATTAAACAGTATTTAGATCTATATCGATATCAATATATCGAAAAATCGTTTGATATCGTTCATTTTATGATGTATTATGCATATCATAATAAACTATAGATACTTATACCTATATACTATATAGTATCTAACCATCTAGGTAGTATATTATTCTGTATTGTTAAATTAATTTACCTCACCGCACAGAGTGAATAGTACACTCGTCGCGTGAGAATTTAACGATTTGCATACCGGGGGATGATAGTGTGTAATAACGTAACGACATTACTGCAACCAAACCATAAGTGTGGTTTATTTTTTTTTCAATTAATTTCCGCAAACCGCAAAAGATAATCACGTTATAATAACAATACTATAATTTATAATAATTTATAGTGATAATATTATCAATATATTTTTCCGAACCGACGACAGCGTCAAATTATATATACTTGGTTGTTCTCTCATAAATTCCACGACGGTGCTGCAGTATTTATTATTAATTACCATATTATTTAACAATGCTATTTAAATACACGCATACCTTAAACTTATAAACACTATCATCGCAATCGCGTGAGTAATGTTGCAGGTACATGGTTTCGATCACCGGTACACGATAAATCGTACAATATCGCAATACCTACCTATGTTATTATTACGCACTTGTACAATAATTATTGTTAACTATTGAAAGGATTTCAATTGTCTATTACACGGATTTTTATTACGTTACGAGTTCATAGGCGTAAATAGTGTCCGAGACTTGAGGGGAGGTGACTCGCCATACGTCAGTCAGCAGTTGGGTAAACGCTATTTGCGCCCATAAATCATCATAATAACATATTTTATAAAAATAACATTACGTGCAAAACGACGTTTGTCCGGTGGAGCGATGTCGTCCGTAGAAATTGCTCTGCGATGGAACTGAGATACCACCAGCTGTGTTCACTCTGATTAATCGAAACATGACAAGTTAACACAGCGAGGTTCCCAGTCCCACGACAGAATGGTCGTAGATGTGTTCGGCAACCGCAGCGACGATGTAGTCTGCGTCCTCATAACGGTCGCGCGATCTGTCGCCAATGCACGGCGATAACACGCGACGTTTTTTTTTTTTTTTACCCATAGATCGCGCTGGGCGTATGCACCGTACGAAAATCAGACCGACACGTCTTATTAAAATTAATTTAAAAAAAAAAAAAAAAAATACATACATACATACATACTAAAAATAATTGTACACTATAGGACGAAAAACAAACAAAAATAATTATTCATTACTATGACGGTGGTGGCTGGTGGAGGAAACCATACGTCTTAGACAATGCGATAGACGAATAACAAGATCGTTTTTTTTTTTTAATGATCATGTTTATTGTGTACGGAACCACGAATAGGTGTAGGTACATGAAGTGTTTTGTTTTTATCGAAATAACAACGTCAAACACGATAATCATAAGGCCTCGTGTGGGAGAAATCGTGAACACGACCACCACTACCATTTCCTCTGACCAACGTCGAAACCGAAATTTATCGCCGACCCATAACACCCCATTCAACACAAGTTCGGTTGCTTATATTATTATCATCACATCGGGTTATCGTCATAACACTACTACTATTCAACGAGAATTAAGCACAATAATATGTACTCACAGTTTGTTTTTGTGCGACTCCTTCACCTTGTCGTCGCCTTCGATCCGATAGATCTTGCCATACATGACGTACTCGAAACTGTCGGCCCGACAGCCGTTTTGGTCCATTTCTATGGGATTCCAATCGCCAGCGTCAGGCTGTCCATCCTCGCGTAATGTGGTGGCTAACACTAGTCTGAATTTATCACCTATAAAGAAAAAAAAATTGCATTTTATTACGGGACTATTCCGTCTCATCTACGTGTTTTTAGGGTTTCGTTACATTCGTTTAATGTTTTTCGACTTCCGAGTTTCCCAAAGTCATAGTATTATAAGACCTATACTATATTTACCGGCACTTTAATAGAAACCGGTCGAATAGGAGAAAAAAAAACGTAAAAACGAAACCGGTTAGATATAATTTTTCTTTTTTTATTTTACCATATAAGCATATTCATATAGCCGATGACTACTAGACCACATACGTAAATATTAGCTGCAGAGATAAAGAGCGCTTGGAAGATTATGAAATAACTTGCAACGACCACAAATTTAATGCAGGATTATGAAAAGTTAATCATTTTTGGGGAAGTTTTAGTGTGGATAACTTTCTTTCTGGAGACAACTATATTATATTACATTAATAAATAATTGATTCGTTACGTTGCAAATACCAATAGTACCTATATATATATATATAGTTTCCTAACCCACTACCCCGGTGCATGCTTGCAGTGAAATTTAATAGACTGTTGGAATTTGAGTATTTCATAACCTACCCTTTCTACTTTATTATTCGTAATGATTTTGAATAACTGACTAAAAGAGAAAAATCAGTAATACGAAACCGTAATTCAACACATACGTATTATACTATATAAATGAGTCCATTAATTAAATAAGTGTTTTACACACATAATCAAACACATTTAATATTTATTATTAAATTTGCAAAATCATAATGTAGGTAGTCATTATATTCTCAGACTTTGAAACGATAGAACAGTGTTTCTTTTTTGAATATGATGGCCATCAGCTATTATTAAATATATGGTACGTATATTAAAAATTATAATGAAGTATCAGATATTGAATAGACTTACTATATAATTATTTCATTATTATCAAATTCAGTAGGAAAATTGAAGTTTAGTTACATAATAAATTGTATAAATACATGTTTCATAAAATACGAATTTAATATTTTATTTCCTCATAAATAAAATTAGTATTGATAATATTATATAACTATAACGGATACACACGTAAAATATCTTAAAATTATTTTTTACATACTTATCATTGAAAACGTGTAGAATGAAGTATAAACAAATTGATAGAAGTCTATGTTATAGAAGAACCTGTTTATATACGTCATGATATGTATAAATACATTTTAGTTATTACTCATTTTGACACTTAAAATCCTGATATCCATCCACGTATATAAATATTAAATATAGTATGGTATGTACTATGTATCTACTAAAAAAATTAAATTCTTGAAAACCAGTTTCTTAAACATTAGATACTATGATATTACTTTATATTACAAATCAATTTGTATATTTCAATTAGATAAAAATGTTTATTCATCAAAATAGTTTAAAATTTTAATTTTGATAACAATATCGGATAAAAATGAAACTAAAAAAAAAAATTAAATTAAAAATAATTAACATACCATGATATAAACTTTAAATTGTATACCCAACACAAATAAAAAATATTTTTAGTTTTATCATTCATAAAATTGTGAGCAATTTAAAACTATACCAATAAATTTATTTGACAAAAAAAGTATTTATAGAATTTTTTATACCAATAAGTTTTATAGTTAAATAATCACTAACTATAAAGCTTTATATAAATAATTAATTTGGTATGAATTTCGCCTCTAAATATAAATATAAATAAGTTTATATAATATTAAATATTACTCAGTAGTATTATTTTATCAATATTGATTAAAAAAAACTGAACTAAAAAATCAATAGCTTATACAAGAAGATATTATTTATTATCATTACATGCTTTTAAAATTTAAATAAATTACTTTTTTCGGACTTTTTTGTACTCATCAATCTAAGGTAAGTTTATATAGGTATATATATATATATATGATCTATTTCACAGCATATTTCATTATTATTTACTTAACATTTATAGTATTCAATGTAGTAATCAGTTTAATTTATTCTTTTAAATTGGCACAATACCCCCAAAACTTTTTCATTAATCTCACTACGATCAATAATAAAATAATATAATACATAATTAAAATTTATTTTCACTGGTTATTGATTATTTTATATTTTTTTATTGTTATTTATTAACAATTCTTCGTTTACTTTAATTTACAGGTAAGTAAAAACATATACAAAATAAAAAAAAATTATAATCAATATATTGACAGATATAATATAGCAGGCTTATACCTACTAAATAATAAATGTTTTTGTTTAAAAGTGTTCAGAGAAGAAAACCTATTAATGTAAATTAAAATATAATTTTTTTTAATTCAGAGTCTAACACATACTTATAGCTACTAAATACTTACGTATTAGAATTAAAGCCTAAAAGTACTTATTAAATAACAAATAATTCAGTAAATATAATCAACTTTAAAATCATTTAATAAATAGTCACATATTTCTATAATTCTGAGAACTTAAAACTTTATAGTACTTTAAAATGAATTGTACTTATTGATGAGTATAATAAATTATTCAGAATTAGATTTTGATTATAGTAAAGGGTCAATAAAATGGAGGTCAGCATAGAATATTTTATGTCAGTCGAGCTAAAATAATATGTATGGACTGAATTATGCTTATCACAAAAAAAAAAAAAAAAAAATAACAAAATTCATCGAAACAGAAAGTGTGAAAAAAATCAATACTTCCATTTAATATTACATATTTTATTTGTACACAATAATTTTGTTAAAAGAAAAGTTGAATGTTATTTTATTTTGAATATTTTATTATTATATTGACATCATGTAAAACTAATAGTATTTTATATGTTTAAACTGTTACTGCGTAATAGTATTACTCAATAAATGAATAAAGATAAAACAGTTGTACAAAAAAATAAACACATTACAGAAATTGTATAGATTTATTAAAGATGTTAGTGTCATAAATTATTTTATTGAATTTAACTATTTATTAACAAAATCAACCAAAATCCATTGTCTAATCTACATACACATATTGATATATATTTATATATATTATTTAAAATATAACTCTAGAAGCCTATAATAATAATAAATCTATATGAAATAAATTTTACATCAATATATTTTATTCAAATGATTTCTAATTCATTGAAGTTGCTTATTTCAAATTATAAACTAATATTATTACAATTAAATATGTATGTACTAATTGCTTTTAACTAAAATAAAATCATTACCAATACGTTAGTAATCCATAAAAGTATGCTTAATTATGAAAAATGATTGTCAAATATAATATTACGATAAACCATATTATTATACTCGATTGTAGTATGTATAGAAATAGAATACCTATTATTATATTATTGCAAAATTTTTTAATTTTGTTGTTGTTGTTGTTTTATAATAGTTTTCAGCGTAAAATTATGTAATATTTCTCCGAAAAATAAATTTTCGGCATACACAGTAGTAAGTGATAAAATTACATTTTTTGTTAAACAATGAATTTTGAAACTGCGTTTTCATTATTATAATGTATGTTATTATTTATAGATACCGTTTTTATTTGAACGACTCGCGCGAACTGTAGCAGATGCATCTCGTTATAACAATTTTCACCATCAGACCAATTACGCCACTATACAGACGATACGATAGGTCACCGCGAATACCGACAACTGCGCGTGGTTAACGATCGTCTCCGGAGTTGGTCGTTGGCTCAAATGATCCCGCAGGTATAAAATTCGGTAGATTGACAGTCGTTTGCGTATCGCGTGTTCCAACACACCGCGAACATATTATTATCAATACGTCATAACAATGTCATGTTTCAAGTTTAGAAGGATTAAGATGTTTAAACGTAATAATATATCATTAAAATATTTAATCAAGACGATTAGAATTCCGACTGTTTTAATAACATTCTATACTTCAACATTTCCGCCTTATTGTGAACGTCGGCGACTGTTCAAAGTCACGCGTGATAATGTAATATAATATAATCTCCGTTCTCCATTACGGTAAAATGTAAACACTCAACGCGCCAGAAACGTTATATAGGGTTCGCCACGGTATTTTTTATTTTTCTACAGAACTCGATCCCCGGAACTCTGTTCACCACCCTCGTGACTCAAATTCAAATTCTCGACGACCGACCACCGAGCGAAGGGGGGACGCGCGGGTTACCGTGCGCGATAGTGCGCGCACACGTCCTAGCGGTTTTTTTTTAACTTTTTTTTTTTGTCGTCGTTCATCACACAATATTTATCGAACACATTTTAAAACAAAGAGAAATTTTACACATCGCTTACATCCGGACTATCGTGTTTTCGCGGTGCGTGCGCGCGTATCCGCGTAAATGCGGTGACGGACGGCGGGGGCGACAGCGATGCCGAAGGTTCCGAGAGCGCCCGCGCGGCGACCGAGCGAGCGCGATTGGCGGCAGTGGCGCGCGGCGAGATGAAAATAATATAAAATACGCGGAGCGGTGGCCGGGGAGAGCGAGAGGGAGTGTGCGCGCGCGACAGAGAGAAAAAGTGAGTCGAGAGGTGCGAGTGG